CTTTCTTTCCTGACTTACCTGAGTGAGTAGGGAGCTCACATTGCCTGTGCACTGAGAAGGTACCACGGGACCCCGTATCTCTCTCAGTACAAACTCAGGCTGGGTGACAAATGTCCCCAGAAGGCACTGCCTGCCTGAGGGTGAACACACGGGGAAGCCAGGCCAGGCTTGCTGAACTGGGAAGGCATTAATGCAGGGATTGATAGCATCAGTTTAAGCTCTTAAATCCAAAACCTCTTGGAAAACCTCCCACCTGGTTGAGCTGGTTTACCCATCTGCTGCAGAATCACACTCAAGTCATGTCCACACTCGTCCCAGCCCTCCTTGTGCCCTCTCCCTGCCCAGTGGGCACAGCAGCTTTTCAGGGCCTGTCCTTCCTGCTGAGTGTCCCACGAGCATCACAGTTCCAGAATTCCATCCAGAGCCAGTGGGATGTCTCTCCAGCTTCTTCCGAGGCTCTGGGCTCTTCTGCTAAAAGAACAGCCAGAAGGCTCTTCCTGTGCCAGCACCCTGGCTGCCCCAGGGAACTAAACGCTTTGGAAGAATCTCCTTTTGTTCTTCCCACCCAATCTTCTATCTTGTACCCTGCTGTCTTAGAGCTAGAAGGAACCCTTTACCTAGCTGGTGATAGGCACAGTAATTGGTGAATTGATTCACTGATGGCAGATGTCCTAGTTACTTTTCTTATTGCTGGGACAAACTACCCAACACTCAAAGTTAAAGGAGGAAAGGTTTATTAAGCTTACAGCTTGTAGAGGTTTCAGTGCATAATTGGCTGGCTCGGGGGCAGGGTGGCTTTGCAGAGAACAGTTGATGGAGGGCAGAAGAAGCAAAAGCAACAACAAACCTTAACAGTGTCTTTTCTGCCCTTTTTATACTCTGTCCAGTCTACTGGGGTTACGGCAGGGCCAATCCAGTCAGTGGGCTGATCCAGCAGTCACCCACCCTCAGTCCCAGCACCCTTAATCCCAGCATCACAGCGCCAGTCATTTACACACGCTAGATTCAGCCACCTCCACAAGAGGCCCATAAAACTGCATGAGGCTTTGGGGGCACATCTAGACCCAAACCATAACAGGAGGGTCCCGCTGTGAGCTGGTACCTACCGCCAGGGGCAGAGAATGGGAAGGAACTTGCTGAACCTGATTCTTCATCTGCAAAATGGAGAAAACACTCCTATAAGGTTGTTGTGAAGGTCAGAACAAGGCCATATGCCCCTGGCCCAGTGCCTGTTCCATAGCAAGTGATAACAGTTATGAATGCACACCCTGGTCCTGTATGTGTTTACCATCTATGGAAATGAGTCCTCTCATCTCCCAGGGATGATGGAAGTCATGATAGCCAGCATGAGTGCCCTGCTCTGAAATGCTTAGCAGACTTGGGATGACCACCAGTTCATTTCCTGGATCCACTGGCCAGGTTGTACGTATCACACTGGGTCCCATCAGGGCTGGCTGGCAAAGGGCTCAGACTCACATAGGAGGACCCAGAGCTCAGAGCCAGCGGGGACTGGTCCTGGTGGAGCTTTTGGGCCCTCTGGGCGAGGTCCACAGATGGACCTGATGCTCAGGCAGTGATGCAGGAGCTGGGCCAGCAAAATCAGGAGGTTCCCCTGACCCTCTGCCACACCACATTTCAGGCATATGAAGGCCACTTTAGTGTTACCCACAGCTCCACTTGAGAAGCTGGGACCTGGGGCTGTGGTCTGATTCAGACAGAGGAGCATCGATCGAACTGCTGTGCTGAATCTCCCAGGAGGGGCCAGGCTGAGTGCAGTGCTGTCCCTCGGGTAGAACTCCACGTTGTTGTCAGGCTCCACCTGCCTTATGTGGCACCTGAGAGCTGGAAAAGAGGTCAGGATCTGCATCGTGAGGCCTGTGGTCCCTTAGCAGGGCCCTGGGAGGGAAGACTGTCCACTCAGCAGCCTTCACCTGTGTCCTGGAAGCAGCTTCTACCAGGAGTAGGTCTGGCACTTGCGGGGTGCCGTGGTCTCTGCAACCATTCGTCTGTGCAGGGACAGCAGGGCAAGGGTCACCCTGCAGTGCTCTGTCTCTGGCCTGTTCCCTGGCCTGGAAAGCACCTTTTCTGTTCAGTGTGGCAGCAGCCTCGGCCCTTCCTGGGTGCTGCCATCTAAAGCCCCTGGGAAACTCTGCGTGCCACTGCCAGCAGGGCACAGGAGCCCTGGTGCACTACGCGCACTCCTTCCCAGTGGACCCTTCCACAGTCTGCATCCAGGCAGGGCAGCCCAGGCTGTGAGCCATCCTCACAGCAAGCACCAAGTCTCAGTGCAGGAGGTATAGGGAAGGGGAAGCAGATGGAAGAGCCTGGCAGAGTTGGGAGGCTCTGTTACCCTGACCTGCCAGGGGACCCCCTCCCTGGAGCCACCTTCCCTATTTTTAGGAGCCCTAGTTTTTAGCTTTAGAAGAAAGTCACAGAAGGGGTGTGTCACTGCCATGACCCTGGGGGGCCCAGGCCCTACTGTCTTCTCTGCCACCTATTCGTGCTGCCTTCCCATAGCTGCCCCTGCCCATGGGTCCCCAGAGACCTGCCACCTAGCAGGGCGGGTCTGAACCTCTGAGGGAGTCCTAAGATGAGGAGGGAAGGGCAGAAGGCCCTTCTGCAGACACCCAGATCACAGTCCTGCAGTAGCTGTCTCCTGGGGAGGGCATCCGTACAGACAAAGATGTGGAGCCCCCGGGGCGAGGGTGTACTGGAGGGCACGCGGGCAGGGGGGCGGCCTGCATGTCATGCCGTCTCGGCCCCAGTGCCTCACTGAGTGCAGCCTCCACAGCTTCTTTCTTCCTGGCAGGCTTTTGTTTTGTTAGGGTTTTTTTTTTTTTGGTTTTCTTATTTTTTGGTTTTTTTGAGACAGTCTTTCCATGTTGCCAAGATTCAACTCAAACTTCTGGATTCAAGTGACCCTCCTGCCTCATCAGCCTCCCGAGTACCTGGGACTCTAGGTGTGCACTGCTACACCCCCTCCCAGTGGTCACCTTGGAATGTCCCCATAGGCCATGAGTGCTCATGTGCCACTGCATATAAGTAAAATATTTGGTGCTGCTCTGCAGCAAGTGCAGGGGCCCTCTTAGCCTCCCTAGGAGAGCCACTGCTCTCGGCACAGAGGTCATTTATGCTGGAGTCCTAGTGGGTCCTTTAGTCCTAAGAGTCTGGGGGACCTGTGCCCAGCCTCTTAGGAGACATGAGGAAACTTGAGACCCCGGGGTCCTTGAAGGGCAGGGCTGGGGAGCATGGGGCTGGGCGTACTCTGCCCTCCTTCTGCTGCCTTGCTGCAGGGATGTGACCCACAAGTGGGACCATCTGGACCTGCCTCTGGGGCTCCCCACGAGCCCTACTGGCCCCTCCTGCCCACATCACTCCCTGCACTGTTGACCCAGCCTGCTGGGCACTCAGATCCGAAGTGCTCAGCCTTCCGGCCCATCTTTGGAGATCTCCGTCAGCAGGATCTAGGGGAAATACCCTTTGTCACAGGGCTCAAGCTGCCACCCTCACTGAAGGCAGGAGCCAGGCCTGAGGCTTGAGGACCATTTCTGGGGTGGGGGTAAAAGTTGCCAGGCTCAGCAGGGAAGAATCCTTCTCCTTAAACAGATGTTGATTTGAAACTGGACAACAGAGCTGAGTCTTGACAGAAATGACTGCTGATCTCCTCTGAGAGTGCACAGACTCTGCTGTCTCTGCTGTGCAGGACGGAACACCTCGGGGCCGGGAGTAGGAGCCCCGTTTTCTGGGCAGACCCTGTCATGGCAGGTCCCTCATCCTGCAGGACTCCTTGCCACTGTTCCTCCTCAGTCCAGAGCCATCTTGGTGGCTGTCACCTCTGTGGTTCTGCTGCACCTGGTCCCACTGTCTGAGGACTCCAGGACTTCTTGTTTCCAGCTCTTCTTCTCCCTCTGGGGCTGGAGTGCTTGTGGGTGGGCATGCGATCGCCACATTGGCAATCCTGTTTTTACTAAAATACCTCAAGGATATTTTTCCCAATGGAAATGTTTCTTGCTGCAGCAAGAGGAGGGAAGGGTTGTTTTTTTTTTTTTTAAGTAGTTGTATAAATTAAGGTTTATATACTTTGGGGGGGGGGTAACTCTTCCCTTTGCAGTAAGCTAAACTCCAGCCTTTCTTATTTATTTTTATTTTGAAACTGGGTCTTTCTGTCGTTACATTGCCTGTGCTGGGTTCAGACTTGCAGTTGTCCAGTCTCAGCCTTCTACAGTGCAGGGATTATGTAGATGAGGATTTAAATCCCAGCTTCCTCCCTTCCATCTTGGAGGTGCAGGGCGAAATGGAAATAGCAGTAACTGTCGTATATATCGACGGTGAAAAGCCTAATAAAAAGGCGCTCAGTAAATCTTTGCTCTTTCTGCTTGGAGGACCCTTCCTCCTGCTCACACCTGTGCACACATGCGCCCAGGCACCAGTGGGGCTGGCTGTTTGACTTGAAGAGAGGAGAGCGGTGGGCTTCCTGCTCGTCTGTGGACCTGAGGCCATGGGTGGGAGATATTCTCTCTTGAAAACCTTCTGTAAGCCACCTGCAGGCAAGAAGTGTCTGTGGCCACCACATCTACACATACTGTGTGCAGGGGCATTACAGCAGGGGGCAGATCCTTGTCTTCCTCAGAGGATGCACTGCACTCAGCTCAAGGGAAGTCCTCTTCTAGACACCTAGTGTCTATCTGTCCCACACCTGGGAGGGGAGCACGCGATCCCTCCTCCGTCACCCCCTGAACCTGCCAGCCTTGCCCGCAGAGGGCCCCTGAGCATTTTGCTCAGCCTGTTTGTCAGGTGGGACAGAGCTACCTGTGACTGTGCCACAGAGATTCTGGTTGCAAGGTCCTCAGAGCCCACAAAGGGCCCCTGCACTGTGGGCTTGCTGCCCTGGTGCAGTGGCCACAGACAGTGAGCTGCTGTGCTTGGAGCTCATCCTGACCAGAAGGTGGTGGCTGTCTTGTGGTCATCTAATGTAGAGCTTTCTGTTTGCTTTCTTCTAGAGCAAATCATGGAGGAAAATAAAAAACATGGTGCACTGGTCTCCCTTTGTCATGTCCTTCAAGAAGAAGTACCCCTGGATCCAGCTGGCAGGACACGCAGGTAGATGGCGCTCCTGCACGGCTGGTGGAAAACCGAGTTCAGGGAGGCACTTGGAAAAGGCGGGAAGGGTGGGCCCAGACCCTGAGCCCCAGGAATGGAGCAACTTCTTTCCTAGAGTTTCCTAGAGCAACTTCTTTCCTAGAGTTTCTAGTCTGAAGTCATGGCCAGAGCGTGATGTGCCCTTCTCATGGGCCTGTAACTGAACAGGCTGACCTTTCTGGAGCTGGCCACCCTGTCCCACAGCACACACCCTCCCTCCCTCTGTCCTCTGTCCTCTGTCTCTACTGCTTTCAATCTTTTTCTCTCTCTCTCAGTCTCTCTTCCAATTTTGCTCAGTAAAGCAGATGATGTCATCAGTCTTTAGCTTGCCCACCACTTGTCACCCTGGACAAAGAGGCAAAGCTTACCGCCTCCTTGAGCACCTACTGTGCACCCACGTCGCCGTGGCTCTAGGTTTTCAGCACTAATGCAGACGTAGTCTCTGCCCGAAGGAGCTTGCTGCTGTTGGAAGATGCAGGCAAGTCACCCATGCCTGCAGATGGCACCAGGAGCCAGTGGCTAGGGAGCCGGGACTGTGTGATCCCCAGGTTACCCACCAGGGACGGGGAGGGGCATCCGCAACTGAAGCCCCATGTGGGGAGCCCCCTTGCACGTGTGGTCTTCTGGGAATATTTCCGTGGCTGCTCGTAGACTTGGCCTTTGTGGCTCTGTTGGCCTACAGGTTGTTACCAGGCCAGTACAGGGTCTGACATGTCACTTAAATGCCCAGCCACATTGGTCCAGCCCAGGACATCTGTCTGGACAGCCTTTGTAAATACTTACCTGAGGGTGTAGCCTAGAAGGAGTGCTGCCTCGGAGGCGCACATCCAAGCTCACTCTGTCCCCATCCCAGCACTGAGTTCTGCTGATCCCAGGAGCCACCCGTGTTGCCAGAGAAGCAGCGCCCAGGTGGGGTGGAAAACCCAGCAGCAATGCTGTGGGGAGGGCAGGTGGCTCATACAGCCCTGGGCCAGCGTGCTTGTCCTTGTCCTCGTCCCTGTCCCCAACCCCATCCCCGGCAGAGGCGTGTGGGAGCTAAGGAGGCCAGGTTGCCATCAGTGAACACGGGCCAGGAACTCAGACTTGCTCCCCTCGAAGTGCTGTTCGCAGTGAGGCCCAGGGTGCATCTTCAGGCCCCACTAGGCCAGCTCTGCAGCAGCCCCAAGGGAGGCCTAGGTACCAGGCCAAGGGGGCTGGCAGTGGTGGGTCAGAACGAGGGTACCCCTAGGCTGGTCACCAACGCCTCCCCACTCCTGCCTGCTCTGCAGGGAGCTTCAAGGCCGCTGCCAACGGCCGGATCCTGAAGAAGCACTGCGAATCGGAGCAGCGCTGCCTCGACCGGCTGATGACCGATGTGCTGCGGCCCTTTGTGCCCGCCTACCATGGAGACGTGGTAAAGGACGGGGAACGCTACAACCAGATGGACGACCTGCTGGCTGACTTTGACGCGCCCTGTGTGATGGACTGCAAGATGGGCGTCAGGTGAGCCAGCTCCTCACTGGGTGCCATAGATGCCCAATGGTTTTAGGGCTTCTTGGAGCAGCTAGGTGACCAACCAGAACCCCCAGCCTCCACAGTGTGTGCAGAGGCTCAGGCCCTGGCTTTGCCACGATAATGGCTCCTTCCCCTTCCTGATGAGCTAGTTGGAGGTGGGAGCCCAGGCTGGGGGAGCCAGGAAAGGGCCCTGGCTGGGGCACGACCCCCAGGTCTTGGGCAGAGGGAGCAGTCGTCTGGTCAGGGCCAAGGGGAGGCCAACATAGGGAGGCAGGGAGAGAGGAGAGAGCTGTTGGTAGACACCGACTTGTGCCCGAGGCTGAGGTGGGAGCCCAGCTGCCTGTCCCCTTGGAAGCCTGGAGGCTTGGAGACTCACTGGGCCCATGCCCCCCCTCCCCACTCCGGGGCTCAGACTCAGCCTGGCATGTGCCATGAGAGAGAAGCCAAAGAGGAGAGAGGAAAGGGGCAGGGGGAAGTGGGGTGGAACGACTGGGCTGCCCTAAGCCTTGGGCCTGTTTTGGCCACAGGGTTTCTCGGCTCCCTCAGACTCTGGCCATTCCCCTCTGAGATGCAGGGCTGGGTCCTCCCCAGGGCACAGTAGGACCCCTGAGGCTGCTACCCACAGGCCCAGTGTCCAGTGCCCTGTGCACATACTGCAGGGCCTGGCCCAGGCTGAATGCGGAGCCTGGGCTTCCCTGCCAGTCCCAGAGGTGCGTGTGCACGCAGAGCCCAGCCCAGCCCGGCCCGCCCTGGGTGGTGCCCTCGTGTACAGAACGCAGGGGAGCTGAGAAAGTAACGTGTGAGAGACAAACCGAGAGGCCAGGAGAGGAGTGGGCCCAGCCAGCCAGGCTCCCCCTGTCCCCTACCCCTCCTGGGACTGCTGTGCTAAAATCGAACCCTCAGCTGGCTGCCTGCAGCTTGGTTGTACCCCAGGGCAGGGCTGGGGGCGTGGGGGCTGCGGGGCCCTGTTGCTCCTGCACTATCCCTTGGCCTGGCCACCTCTTCCCATATCACGGCCCACAGGGAACCAGGGGAGGCAAAATGCCCCTCCAGCCTCCACATCGCAGCTGGTCTTCCATAGTCTTGTTTCTATCCCCAAAGTACCCCCAGGTCCCAGCCCATTGTACCAGGACGTACATTTTTTTTTGAGGGGGGTGTCTTTTTGGGATAGGGTCTCCCTATGCAGTTCAGGCTGGTTTTAAACTCATTTTGTAGCCCAGGCTGGCCTTGAACTTGCAGTGATCCCCCTGCCTCAGCCTCCTTCAGGACGTGCATTCTTGAGGGAAGGCCCAGCCCTCCCCCAGAAACCTGGGCAGCAGAGGCCTGGTCCTGCCTGCTGTGGAGGGGTGAATCTCAGCAAGAGCATGAAGCAACCAGGCAACTTGGTATCTGCTCAGATGCCCACTTGAGGGCGGCCTGTATGCCACCTCCAGGCGGTTACTCCTGGAAGTTGGCAACCCTGGGGCCTCCTGTTATTGCCCTGTATGCTCCCCAGGAGGCTGCAGGGGGCAGGAGATTTCCCTCCCTTTTGGCAGCTTCTCTCGCATGGCACCCCAGGGCCCTCAAGAAGGACCTAGAGCAACCAGCAAGGCCAAGGTGCATTCAGCCTTGTGCAGGGCAGGGGCCACAAGAAAAGGACTTGCAAGAAGGAGAGGGCGGCCTCCCCACAGCCTATGCCCACCCGTCCTGAGAGCACTGTATGCTCCGGGTGCTGCTCTCGCCACACTCCCACAGTGGCCCACAGGGAGGCCATGCTGTTTGGAGCAGGATTCTGACCCCCGTGTCACCAGAACCACCCAGCCACGCAGCAGCGAGGAGAAGCTGTGCCCACATCTGCGCAGCTGCAGCCCGGCCTGGTGCTGCTGACTCTGGGAGGGACCGGCTGCCCCGCAGTCGTGGTATGTGCACGCGTGCATGCGTGTATTCAGGCCTATGCCGTGCTGCCCTGGGTTTGTGACTACCATGGAGAGTTGGACCCGGGGCCCATCTGCACCAGGCTGAGGCTTTGGGATACAGTGGGTGGCCTCAGTCTACCACCTGCTGTCCCCGCACCAGTCCGCAGCGTCTAGTAGGACGGAGCTTCGGCCTTCCCTTAGAAGTGGAGGCAGGCAGGGCAGTGGGGCTCTGTGCCTGTCTCCTCCCTCTCCATGTGGGGCACAGCTTGGCCTGGGGGGCTGAAGGCCCACGTGGAGAAAGGCCCTGGTGAACAGCAGTGTGACTGTGACATCTGCTTCCTGCTCAGAATGCCTCTAGGGCCCTGTGCAGAAGCGCAGCTGCCACCCCCGTGCAGGCCTGTGGGGAGCACATGGGTGCACAGACGGCCCGGTCACTGAGCTGGCTTTGCGTGCACAGTGGACTGTATGTGCCTGTGTATATGTGTACATGCATGCGTGTGTGTGTGTGTGTGTGTGTGTGTGTGTGTGTTTTTGCATGTATGCAGGCACCAGTCAAAAGCTAGTAACTCCACTCAAGGTCCTTGTCATCTAAAGGTCACACCGCAGGATTTGGTTTCTTCCCTTTTCCTTTTCAGTGAAAATATTAGTTGATCACAGTGGATTCTGAAAACCTATCATTGTGAGCTTTTGTTCGTAATCCAAGGTCCCATACGACCAGATAGGAGAAGGGTTGGTGAGCGGTGCTGGAACAAGGCCTGGGGTCAGGCAGGAAGTGTGGGAGGCCAGAGAGGGGAGAAGGCAGCCTCCAGGGCAACTCACACCCACACAGGGCAGAGGGAGACCACTTCCCCATCTTGCAGCAGCTCTGCTGATTTCAGCTCCCTGCTCAGCCCGGGTGGCAGCAGGCCTTTGTGGAGACCAGAGGAGGTAGTGGTGGAAGCTCGGGGCTGCTCTGGGGCAGAGAGCAGATCCCCACAGTCCAGGGCCAGCAGTTGCAGCCTTCAGCTGCCAAGGCCTGGGCATCTGGGTCCCTTCTCCCTCACCAGGGTCTCTGTCCGTCAGCTCAGCCCAAAGCAGCCTGCTTGCGTGGTGAGCCGGGCAGGAGGGTCGCAGTTCAGTGGCACACCTTCTCCCAGTGGTCTGGTCAGGGAAGGGGCACGTATGTTTCTGGGACAGCCCCGGAGACCAAGGGGTCCCCCTCTCCAGTGCTTCTCCCCACAGGGCTGCGGCCCCTTTAGAGGCCACCTTCCGACTTGCCTTTCAGAAAGATCCTGAGAATGGGGAGGTAGGCAGGAGCACAGAGGGCTCTGACAGGCCTGGGGTGTGCCCTCTTCCTCCCTCTGCCCCCCTCCGCAGTTCCAGAATAGCCTGACCCAGGCTCTGTGGTCTAGCCTGACTGCCCCTTTCCCCACAGATCAGTCTGAGCAGTGTGAAGCTCATCTGTGATGAATGGGCCTTGTCCAGGGACTGCAGATGACACAGGTGCTCAGGCCAGGCAGTGCCCCTGTCCTCACATCCCCCTACCTGCCCTCAGGACGTACCTGGAGGAGGAGCTCACCAAGGCCCGGAAGAAGCCCAGCCTGCGGAAGGACATGTACCAGAAGATGATTGAGGTGGACCCCGAGGCCCCCACCGAGGAGGAGCGGGCCCAGCGGGCAGTGACCAAGCCACGCTACATGCAGTGGCGGGAAACCATCAGCTCCACAGCCACCCTGGGCTTCAGGATCGAGGGGATCAAAGTGAGGACCCCTGAGAGGCTGTGGGCTCCCCGGGTCCCACACAGGCAGCTAGCCCCAGGGACACATTTGGAGAGCCAGCCTGCTCCTTGGCCTGCAGCACGAGCAGGATGGCCACTAGGGCCTCGGCCTTGGGGCGGGGCACCTCCAGCCTACCTGCAGATGGCCTCTGCCAGCCCAGCACACCCCCAACCCAAGCAGAAACCCAGCAGGAACCTGTGGGAGGGGCTGGTGAGACACGGGCAGGGGAGGGCGCACCAGCTTCCTTACCCCACTCGGCCCAGGTGGGCACTTACCTCAGAGCAGGGACAGTGCCTGCAGGGCCCTGGGTTCCCCTCTGTCCAGTCTGGGCCTGGCTATCTGCATTGCAGCCCTAGAGTCCGGGATCCCCAGCTGCAGCAAGGTGAGGCTCCTGCCAGCCGCCCCAAGGTGGCGTTTAGATGTGACTCCATTTGCTAGTGTCTCCCCGGTGTCCCTCCTACCCTCGCATGCCCTGCTTCTTCCTTGTCTGGGAAGCCACCCTTCCCTGCTGTTGACAGCCTCCAGCCTCGGACCAGGGGCAGACAGGCGCTTCTGCTCCCACCTTTCTTCTCTGCTCCTCCTCCCCTTGCTCCCTCCCCTCCTCCCCTCTCCTCCTCCCATTCCTCCCGCTTCTCTCCTCTGAGGGAACATTGCTCCTGCTGGTCCCCTCTCCCTCCCAGGGCAGCCCTGTTCCCTGCATTTCCAGCAGTAGCACAGCCAACAGTCTGCCTGCCGGCTCAGACAGCGACTGTGTGCGCCATTGCCCACCCATCCCTTGGCCAGCAGGGATGCTCTGTGGGAAGGCTCCCCACCAGTGCCACACCACCTGGCCCCTGCAACTTGGGCGTGGTAGCGGCTCTCGTGGTCCCAATGGCCTGCCTGTTGCTTTGGAGGCCGAGGCTGTAGCTGTCACCTGTCTTCAGCCTGGGTGTCAGGACCTCTACCAGAGCCACCTTGTGCCCTGTGTCCTCCCAGAGCCGGTGTCCTCCTGGCTGAGCAGAGCCTAGGTGCTGGCCTGGGACAGCCTGGACAAGGGAGTGGAGCCTGGCCCAGTGATGGGGGCAGGGTCAGATCCTGTTTTTGAGGAGCCCGTGCGGTGTTCCCGATGAGACCCAAATCAGAGGTCCAAAAGCATAAACAGTACCAGGTTGTGCATGCCCTGTTCTTTCTGTGTGCACACAGCTGTGATGAGGGTTAATCTCTGAGTCCCACAGCTGCAGTGTGACAGGAGAACTAGCACGAATTCCCATTTCCTCCATCACAGCTCACAGGTAGAAGATGCACTTTTGCAGCAGATCTTAGTAACCTCACTGTGGAGCGTTTTCCTTACCTTGGTAAACTGGGAACATTCAGCTTCTACCTGTGGGAAGCACTGCAGGGCCTCTCCTTGACTTGGCCTTGCTTTGGGGCTATTCCTGAGCTAAGTGAGGTAACTTGAGCGCCCTGCTGTGCAGCGGTAGGCACCCATCATCTGAGGGCCTGAGGGGTGAGGCGTCCTGTCCCTCAGGGCTGGTTCTCCGCTCTGCTGCCCCTCACACCTCTAGGCCCTCCCAGACCCAGCGGGCCACCTCCCTGTGCTCCCTGCACGTCCTCACCGCCTCCTACTCCTCTATTGCTCTGGCCAAGGGGCAGCCTGAGGTTTGGGATGGGCATCCCACCCTGTGCCCAAATCCATCACCCTGCCAACTCCCTGCACAGAAAGAAGATGGCTCAGTGAACCGCGACTTCAAGAAGACCAAAACGAGAGAGCAGGTCACTGAGGCCTTCAGGGAGTTCACAAAAGGAAACCGTAACGTCCTGGTGAGTAGGGTGCCGGGAACACTCCCAGCACCGCTTGGCCTCCCTGCTCGGGAAAGTATCCTCAGTGCCCTGCGGGAGTGACCTTGCCAGACTGCTTATCGTATCCTCTTTGCAGCCCTCTGCTGTGGGTTCTTGTGTCCGTGCACACATAGGAAACTGCATAGGTCAAGAACACAACTGGGGAAGGGTAGGGCTGGGATCTGCACGCCAGTTGCCTGACAAAGAGGCTGCAGGCGTGGGGGTCCCTGCACCCTGCCAGGCTGTCCACAGGCCATGCAGCTGCATAAGAGCTGTGCCCATCGCACTGCTCACCCCAGCAGGCGTCAGCTCTGTGAGCCAGGGGCAGGGACTCACTCGCCCGCAGCACTGCGCTTTCCAGTGCGCTTGCTGCTGTGGCACCACAGGCCAGGTCAGCTCTGTCCAGGGCAGGGGCTGCCATGCTGCACAAGCACCTTGTGACAGTTGGGTCTGTGTTCAGCTGGGACGTGGACCTTAGAGCTCCTGTGAGAGCCCAAGCCTCACCCAGGCCTCAGCGGTGCTGCCACTGAAGGTGCTTGGGAAGGCGTGTTCCTGCTGCTGGGCACCTTGGTGGCTGCTACCCAGCCCTGCCAGCCTGCACTGTGGCTGAGCCGATGGCTCTGAGGAGCCATGTGTGCTTTGTGCCGCAAGGTTTCTGTGCCCCTGGGAGCTGAGAGCCACAGAGCTGGCACATGAGACGGGGCCCCCAGAGCCGGCACAGCATAGTGGGCGTCGGAGGGTGCTGAGCAGAGGTCTCTGGCAGGGCCGCCTGTGGCTCCCCCACCTTCCCTACGAGTTCAGGAGTCTGGGAGCAGCTGATGGCAGGCAGGACCATGAGGGGCGGCTGTGGGTGATCTGCCTCCATGGAGGGCGGTCCAGGGCAGCCCTCCAGGAAGGCCCTGGGGGTGGGTGTATCTCTGGAACTGCCTGTCCCCTGCACCTCCTGCTCACAGGAGTGTGGGGTGGAGAAAGGACAGGGCATGGAGCCGCAGGGCCGCCCTCACCTTCTTTGGGCCTCACTTTCCTTGTAGAAGAAGGGGAGGTTGGAATAAGCGACCTTCATTTGGTGCTGCTCAGCATGTGCACCCTGCTCCCACCTCTGTTTGCAGGTCGCCTACCGGGACCGGTTGAAGGCCATCCGGACCACCCTGGAAGTATCTCCCTTCTTCAAGTGCCATGAGGTAGACCTGTGCCCACGCCCTGCAGGGCAGACAGCTTGTGTGCCAACCAAGTTCAGAAGCAGGGCACCTGGGTTCAGCCCCAGGGGACCCTGTCTTAGTGTAGTTACTGCGGCTGGGTCCCTCGAGGCGCTGCATCCCTGAACCTGTTTGTTCTGGGCAGCTCTGGTGGGACCTCCTCCCTGCCACCCGGGAGTCCTGGGGGGCTGGGACCTCTGTCTGCCACCAGTCAGGGACAGTGCTGTGCAGACTCGGGGTGAGGCTCAGAATGGTCAGCAGGCCCCCTGGAGGCTGCACGAGTTCACACACATGCGTCCAGGGCTCCGCACACAGATAACATCCATCACACGTGCGCTCTCATGTCGTGCACATGCAGTTCCAGCCTCTCAGCCCGTGCACTCCAGGAAGGGTTCACACTGTGTAAGGTGGGCCCAGGCTCCAGCAGACTTGCAGCTCGAGAGAAAAAACCCCCGGAGGGGTCTCCTGAAGGATGCCTCAACCTGGTGCTGTCCCCAAAAGAGGCTGCAGACCCACGGGAGAAACTGGAGGCCGGGCCAGGGCACCTGGCAGAGGGTGCATCCTGGGGGCAGCACTTTGCATGCCTCTGTGCATGCTATCACCAGCCCTTCCCCAGTTGGAGGCCGAAGACCTTGCCCTGGGGTTCCATTCCTCACTTGCCCCTCTGCCAGGGCCCACCTCACCCACTGTGTGGTAGCCCCAGCGGGCTGCCTGGACAGGGCTGGGGCACAACTGGTCTCACTCTGTCCACAGAATCTGGCTTGGTGCCGTTGCTCTCAGAATGGTCTTTTATCCTTCTTGGTCCCAGAGCCTTGCTATTCCTGGGGCCTCTGTATTCTCCTCTGGTACGTGACCCTGTGCCACCTGCAGGGTCTCCCTTGCGTCCACCTGCCTCCCTGGAGGACAAGGGGCTGCCTGGCAACCATACCCCAGGCTGATCCTGGGCAGATTTCAGGCACAGAGCCGTCCTGTGCTGGTGGCAGGGCCTCCTGCTGCTGTGGAACACTGCCCTCGCCCGGGACTGGAGGGAGGGTTTGCTGTCCCCGGAGAGGGTGGTGGGACAGTGGGGCTAGAATCCACAGGGGCTTGTGCTGCTGGTGACCAGGGTCTTTCCTGAACCCCACAGTAGGGCTGGAGTCTCTAAGGCACCCTCTTCTCCAGAGTAGTTGCTCAGAGTGTTGGGGAGGGGAAGGCATGGCCCCCAGTGGAGTCACAGAGGCCGGTGCTGGTCTGCCTTCCAAGGCGTCCTCCCTACTGCCCCCAAGTTGCCTGCAGGGCCCCATGACCTCTGCCAGGCACCGTCCTCTCAGGCCAGCTGGCTGCCCAGCTGAATAGGGAGCAGAAGGCTGGTCCTCAGTCCTCCAGCCCAGGGATCACCAAGCAGCCTGTCCTCTGCCTACCAGGTTATCGGCAGCTCCCTGCTCTTCATCCACGACCAGAAGGAGCAGGCCAAGGTGTGGATGATCGACTTTGGGAAGACCACACCCCTGCCGGAGGGCCAGACCCTGAAGCACGATGTGCCCTGGCAGGAAGGGAACCGGGAAGATGGCTACCTGTCCGGGCTGAACAACCTCATCGAAATCCTGACAGAAATGTCCCAGGATGCCACACTGGCCTGAGGCCACCTGCCCCCTCTGCCACTCCTCCTGCACTGCTTCCCTCCTCCCTCTTGATTCTTCTTTCCTGTTGCCTGCCTCAGGCCCCAGCACTGACCCTCTCTAGCTGCACAGCAGGACCCCTTGTAGGAGAGAGCTTCTCTTTTGTAAATAGTCACCTTGTAGAAGACTTTCCAAACTGAAGCTCAGCTTCTTGCACCAATCAGTTGGATTTAGAGCTGGCGGGTGTGGGTGGCCCTGGGACCCCTGGCTCTGGGAGACTCCAGGAAGCACAGGTTCAGAGTGGGCTGCCTGTAGGGGCCTACTGCCCCCTGGTGGCCAGTGTTCATAGCGTTCCCACCCAGAGAGCCCCACATCCAGCCAGGCTCCTGACTTTCTGGGGAGAGCACATGTTGCTTGTGAGCAGAGGATACTCCAGTGAGCAGCCCCTGGGGCTTCCAGAGGTGCTGTGCCTTTCTAGGCCTGATTTGGAAACCAGCTTTGTCCCAGACCTAGGGCAGAAGAGAAGCCGATTTGGCAGTGCTTTCTGACCAGGTCTTGCCAGGAGAGGGCAGATGGGAGCCGTTTTTCCGTCTGGAATTATGGCCATGGTTTCAGAGGGGACTTTGTGCAGAGCTGAGCATCGTGCAGAGCTGCTGCCACTTCTAGGACCCCTGGCTCCTGTCCTTGCTTGGACCTCCCACTCCATCTTACTGTTCAAGGTCCAGGGCCAGGTGGAGCTGGTCCAGGCATAGATAACCTGAGAGAGCCCGCTGTCTGCTCAGCAGAGAATGCTGTCTCCTGTCCCTCACACCCCTGGCGCTGGCGGGTCATCCCTACCCACTTGCAGAGGGTCCTTTCAAATAGTTGGGGAGGGGGATAAGGCCAGAAGGAAGCAGGGTTCTGGTATACTGGCATCATTTCTACATTTCCTCTGAAAGTCTTAAAATCTGAAGGGCTCAGACCCTTGCTTCCCCAGTTAGTATGGGTGACTTCCAGGGCACATGGTGGCGCCCTAGGACATGCCAGGCCTCTTCTGGAGGTCCTGGCTGCTCAGAGTCCTGGGGGACCATTCTTAACTGTAAAGACAGTCAGTCTGTATTACTGAAAAGAATGTGCAGTTTGCAGGACTTCTTAAGAACAAAACTCCTGGCCCTGTTGCCATATAGAGCTCTGCCCCTGGCCCCTAGGGGCTCACCACCCCTTCCCTGGCTGTCAGGGACTGCTGGGTCCCAGGCCAGGGGCTCCTGGGGACTCGGCAAGAGGCACGGGCACAGCAGGTATACCTGGTGGGTTGGCTCCAGGGAAGGGTGGCCTAATGCCTTGGGGTCCTGGGGGGTGGGGACTGCCAGTTGATCGTCGTGATGAATATATTTCCCCTTTCATGCTGGGTGGGTGAGTGACAGTTGGCGAGGGCACAGGGTGGGAACCAAGAGGATGTGTAAGTACAGATTTTAAAAAGGAAATCACTTGAACTTCCTGGCTCTTGTTCGGAACTGTGGTGCATTTTGATGTGGGCTGATGTGCTAAAGGTCATACCCTGCCCTTGCCCAGCCTGAGACCTTGTGATAGCACATGACCAGGAAGGCAGGTGGAGGGGTCGGCAGCAAGAGCCCAGATGTGGGAGCTATTGTGGCCCTTGCAGGTTGTGGGCCACCTAGGGGGCCTGTGCTGTGGCTGTCTACAGGGAGGTGACATCACAAATTCGGACAGGACAATTCTGTGCCATGAGCAGGCCCAAAGTTACCCCGTGCTATCTATGAAAAACATTTGCTAAAGCAAGTTAGTGATGCAAACAAAAATGAGAGGGACCCACAAAAATGACAGGGACCAGTGTAACCTACATAAGAGAGCAAAGCTCCCCAGCACTTCAAGGGGCACCAGCTGTTTGCAGGCTGTGGGCTAATGTGCGCAGAGGATCTTTTATCCCTGGGCCAAGAGTGTCTTCCGAGAGATGCTGAAGGGCTCCTCTGGGGGCTCCTCGTTACCAGGGTGTTTCGTTTTGTTGGGGTTCTGTACATGCCGTGCCAGGCCTCACACCTCTGCCTCTTGGCCTTCTCCCAGCCCTGGCCTGCGTCCACCCTCGCCCATCACTGGGGAGACCGGTCCTACATGGGCTTTCCCGGAGCTCTGTCCTGGCAGCACAGCACCGACCCAGCCGCGCGGGGCCTGGGGCAGGACACTTGCGTGCAGTAGCCGGGTGGGGCCGAGAGCGCTGCTCAGCGTGCTTGGAAGCTTCCCTGGGCTGCTTCCCCCAGACTCCCTTTAGTGTCCTGCAAGAAGTTTTTAAGTTATATTTATTTTGTTGGTTTCTAAAAATTACACAAAACACTAAGACTGAAAGGCTGGACTCCGTTTTTCCCTGCGAGCTTGGCCTTCTCTCAACTTCTTTTCTGCTTGGTGGGGGGAGCCGGGCAGCGCCCCCTGCCCCAAGTGGCCTCTTCCACCTCTGTCTGTGATGTCTCAGCATCCAGTCAGCCATGGGTACAGAGCCTGGCCCCTCACCCCAGGGTGCTCGCTCATCAGTGCCTTTTCCTGGGGGAGAGGCCCCTCTCCCCCAAGACTGTACCCTTCCCCCAAGAACTGTTACAGACCTGGCCCAGCCTCCTAATAAAGGCCTCGGAGACCAGTGTGAGCTGCAGTGTGATCCTTCCAACCCCAGCCCTAGAGCCGCCACACTGGGGGTGGGCTGGGGGTTCTTGGGCACTCAGAGAAACCTAAGAGGCCCCATCGCTGGACTACGTGGCTCTGGCATGTGGGCCCTCGATGTTTGCGTTTTACCCAGGTCACTTCCACGAATAGGCCCTATAGCCTCTATAGTACAGGTGAAGAAACAGGTTTGGCTCAGGTCCAAGGAGGGGCAGAGATGTGACCCCAGATGTCCCCTGCACTCCAGGCCTGTTCTGCTGTGCTCCTGACACAGCAGTGTCCGTCGGAGGCAGAGGCCTCGTCTCACCAGGCCCAGGCACCGGGCTCAGCACACAGTCACTCCCCAGGTTGGCTGGGTCAGCCTGAACACAGAAGTGCGGCCTCAGGAAGCATTCAGCCGGTCACCTACTGTGCACCTCCCTCGGGTGCCTCTCAGCCTTGGATTCCTGGGGACTCACTGGCAGAACACACTTCAACGTCTGGGGTAGAAGGTACTTCCTGTTTGTCACTTCGGGGAGTCATGGGATGGAAGGACAATAAAAGCCATGAGGCTTTTGCACCTTTTGCCCCTGGCCTGAGTGCTCTCCCCACGTTAACAAGTAGTAACCATGTACCTCTGATTCTTGGGCCTTCTTTGGCAGCAGCTACCAGCCCTGGGGTCCGCACAGGCATAGCTCAGCCACCCCAGCCCTGCTCCCACCCTGCGCTGTGCTGTGCTGTGCTGTGCGGTGGGGCCCTGCAGACCCGGAGGCTGAGACATCTTTAGACTGAGGCTGTGTAACCTTAAGTTTGCAACGGGGGAGGGGGGGCAGGGTTGTCATTGTCTTGTCTGCTCAGAACAACGCTGTCACTAATGGGAGACAGGACAGGGAGATGGACTGTCTCCCCGACCCTGTGGTTACAGTCTGACTTTAGGACAGCCCTGGGTCAAACCCCCTGTCCCCATCTGTCCCTGGAACACTCTGGGAAAAGCCCCAGCTCACTGAAGAACTAGAACTAGGATCCTGATGTAAATGTCACCTCCCTGGAGAGGTCTCTGGACTCTCTGAGCCCTCAGCTGCAGCAAGACCACACTGGCTGCCTCCCATACAGCCTGAGACCACGAACTGCCCATGACAGGGACCTCCCTGCTGACCGCCGCCTCTCAGTGCCTCACAGGATGTCAGCGGCTCAGCATCCCTGAGTATCCCCGAGTGCTGGCACTATGCAGCAGAGCAGCTCTGGCACACGCTGCAGGAGAACACTGAGAGGGGACTTCCTGGCCTCTTCATCACCTCCTGTGAGCTTGTCCTGCACTTTCTGTGTTCACCTGCTCTCAGTATCTCACCTGGACCTCACTGTCACCAGTAATCTACCCATGGAGACTCCAGCAAACGCCTTTGGTCTGCAGGAGTGTCATTCCTCTGCTACACAGATCCTGTTCTCTGGGGCACCCTAGTTTCACGGATGCCCCAAGGATGCCATGCTCCTGGATTTGCCCAAGCTCCCTGATTCCCCTCCTAGTGCCTAGTGACAGGCTGACAGGCACAGTGCTTTTCCTGGCCTCTCCCAGGCCTCAGCCTCCACTCCCTGACCAGATGGTATTTTATGAGCCAGGACTGTGACCAGAGGCCCTGGAACCCCCAGTCCTCACCTTCCATGTCCCCTCAACCTGCTGACCAGGCTGTTCAGACCCACACATGCCCTAGAGGTTCTGACTGGGATGCTGTCTACCCACAAGGGCACACGGCCTTGGGGTAAGGAGGTGTCCTACAGCACCATGGCTGGGATCTCTGGCTGTGTTACATGGCCCAGGGTGTGGTGTGCACTTGGTAGAGGGCACTGGCACGAGACCTGCAGAACACGGGAGCCCACTGCCCCTTAAAGCATCCTGCAGGGGACTTGGTGGTGGTGACCTGGGGGGTCCAGGTGGCATCGGGCCTCGAGGAGCCCGGAAGACATGAGTGGCTGCAGACTCGCAGGACTGTGGCCATGTGCAGGCTACACACCGCCAGCAGAGGGCAGCCTGGGTCCCCTTGAGGAAGAACAAATGCTTCTCACCCTAGGCTGGGGGACTGTGGCCATAGCCAGAGCCCTGGGTCCCAGTGAAGGCTTCTCAGCAAGCTTCTGCTGGCCATGTGTGACCCTGAACTGTCGACTTTGTTTTTATGAGTTGTCCACAGCTTTCCCAGCAGCTGCCAGCCCAGACCCCAATCCTTACACTGCCATTGCTCCCCAGAGCTGGGCCTTGGCCCTGCATGCCTGATCAGTGATGCACTTCCCCCAGCAAGGAGCCCTGATTGTCTTCTAGGGTGGGGGACCATTCAGAATCCCACCAAGGGGTGCCTTGCAGGATGACCCCATCCCTGGACAGTTGGCATGCGTCCTAGGGTACCTGAAGCCACCCTGTGGCTTCCCAGGTCCACTTTTAATAACTGCTGTGGCCTGAGTTTACTAAACTCGGTCCCTGTGAGCACGAGTCGGCAGCGGGTGCAACACCTCCTCACTTTTCCAGACAGCCCTCCAGGGGCAGGGTGGGAGCAGTGCCAGCTCCTTCTAGCTTCACCTGCCACGGGATGGAGCCTCTAGGGCAGCATTGCCACCTCCCCAGCGACCACGAACCCACCTACACCACCAGCTGGGGACAACATGTGGCCTCTGCAGGACATTTGACGTCCAAGCTGCAACAACTCCAATGGAGCAGGAAGTGGGGATCACATGAGGCACCCCCAGTTCTGCAGGTCTAGAGAGGAGGGAGAATGTGGGATGCACCGTGGGCAGCTAACAACTGGCAGACTTGGTGATAAGAGGCTGTCCCCAGGCAGGGGCCAGAGAACAAGATGCCTTGAGCCACTCTGAGGCCAGGGGAGGCCCAGGAGGGGCCCAGGGAGGCCTGGGGACCTTAAGCACCCCGTGACCACTCTTACTACATCGGTAAAGATCCCACAGTCACTGAGGTCTTCACTAAATTTGGAGGATTGCTGGGTTAACAAAGCAGCTTTTCTAACCTCTTAAGAGTCAAGACACCTTAAATAATTTAAAGGAAGCTGTGAACTTTCACCCCAGAAACATGCCAGTGTTCTTGTATGGACAGTACTGCCCACAGCTTAGGGACCCATGGAGCATGCCCTGCCAGACTCATTGGTAACCCCTGATGCTGCTTGGGCCCCAGTTTAGGGATCCTTGGCTGGTAGCAACCCTTCTCAGTGATGCAAGCCAGCAATGTCCCCTGGTCCTGACCGGTGCAGGGAGAGTATTTCCATCCCGGGAAACCAGCCTGCCCTCCAGCCCACTTCCTACTCCACCACTGGGCTTTATGCACAGGCGCCATCACAGGGACACGCCCCCACCTCCACCCCATTTTAGAAACAAAGTGGGGAACAACCGCAGCCTCTCCTTCATGTGAACATTGCCTATGGCTGCTTTGTGCTAGGCCCAAGCAGTGAGCTGAGGAATTGTAGCAGAAACCGTACTGCAGCAAAGCCTAACCTATTCACTACCTGATTCCTTAAAATCTGCCAACCCCTGCCTAAGCACAGCGGCCAGTGATGAAGAACGGCCACACACCAGGGGATTCACCATTGCCGCCAACAAAACCACAAGAGGAGCTTTGTCAGCCTCATTTTTTTTTTTGTAAGAAACTCAGAGGGTAACTTACCTAAGATCACACCACTGGTAAACAACAGACCCCAGCTTTGAACCAAGACTGGAGACCTGCGCATGGCTTTGGAGTCCTGCTCCTTAGCAGCCCCTGGCCTGGCCTGATGCCCTGCTGCATAGACAGCCTGTTTCCAAGCCGCAAGTCCTACTGTAGGTGACTCCCAGTGTCAGGAGCTGTGGTCCCCAAGGCCAGCTGACTGCAGAGCAGGCCTGGGAATGGGGTGAAAGCCCCATCTGCTCCAGGCGCTTGGTGATCGTGCAGGGCCCAGCCTGGCGTCTGAGACACCGCACCCTCCCTTGCCCCAACGAAGTGATTACATAGAATGGAGCTTGCCTGAAAGTTGGCGGCCTGGCCCATGTGCCCACACGGGAAAGCACAAAACATCCCAGTGCATGGGAACACCAAGAAGTAATGTGTGTATCGTTTTCTCACCCATGACAGCTGTGTGCGCCCGGCGTGCGCCTGCCTGTGAGGATGCACTGGGCATAGACGGGAGAAGCGGGCGGGAGGGCGGCAGCAGGCCCTGTGTCTGGGCAGCACGTGCACCAGCAGTTACGTTTTTTAAACAAGAAAACAACTAGTTGACATCATAGTGACAAGAAGAAGGTAAGAAAGGGCCAACATGCCTTTCCTGGGCAAGTGACGGCGCCTGCGTGGCTTAGCTGAGGTTTATCTTCGCACTGTCTGCAGGCCCCAGAGTCCATGCAGGGCCCAGCTGGGCGGGGGTGATGAGCCCACTGTCTGGGTTGGTTGCAGACAGCCATGCCCCACTGTGTCCCCCCAGCAGATAGCACTCTTCCTCTACCAACACAAGCCCAGCTCCTAGGGGTCACGCTCCTTCCTGTCTTCACTATGGTCAGGGTACACACATCCATCAGAATAGCCTCAGTCACTGCCTGTCACCACTGTGTCCTGCACATGCCCACCCCGTGGGGGGCCGCGTGTGAGCACGTGAGTGTGCGTGTGATTAATTTCTGCGGTTTCACTGCAGCAGCACGTGTTTGGGTTATTTTAAAAATAGTTTCTGCAAGTTATGGACAAACAGTGTCTTAAGGCGACAGTCTGCTGTCAACAGCAGCCCTGCTCTATTTCACCGGGGAAACTTTCAGTCAAGCTCTCAGGCCGCGCTGCCCGCTGCAGACTAGGCCGGTGCCGGGGCGGGGTGGGGAGGGCGCCGGCGAGGCCCTCCAGGAGGGAAGCACCGGCCAAGGCTGGAGCAGCGGCACCCAGGCCGGCCGCAGGGAGCCCGCGTCCTCTCAGCTGAGCCGCTCGCAGCCCCTGATGAGGCACTGTGTCCTGTGACCGCGGGGAGCCGAGCGAGGTCACAGCGCGGGCAGCACCTGAGC